TTATTTCTCAGCGAACCTTGATTGTTTTTCAGTTGCACCATGTAGGATGTGATAGGTCTGCCACCGTTGAACACTGGACTCCATTGAACCGTCACCGTTCTCTCCTTCACTTCCTTGACTTCCACTTTCAGGGGACTAGGTGGCACTGAAGGGAAGCAAAAGTATCAAGTGCTAAAGAGAGCATAAACTTCATATTGCAATAACAAGCATATAGAGTACTTAAGTAGTAGCAACAACACCAGTAACATTTTTCTCTGTGGCTATCTCACCTGCCACTACAGTCAGTTTCTGCTCGTGCTTGTGATCATTGAACCATCCTGGAATTTCCACCCGACACCCATAAATCCCAGAGTCGCTCTCCTCCACCTGCCTGATGGTCAGGGACACATCTCCCTCAACAATATCACCCATGAGCAGGTAGCGCTCTGACTGCCGGCTGACCACTGATATCCCGTCTGACCTGATCACCTCATTGGCACAGCCCCTTGAAGGAATGGCCCCTCGGCCCCAACAACCATACAGCCGTCCGTACTTCTGAGCATCGTAGTTGCACCTCAGAGTAACATCTGTTCCAACTGCGGCGATGATGTTCCCTGAGGACACATGGTCTGCAGATGCAGAACGTTTGTACAATAATTACAACAGTCATGTTCAGGTGACAAAAAAAATTACATTGTACCATCTTTACCTTGGAGGAGAAACAGGAGACTGCCGCACAAAGGAAGAAACCTCGCCCCCCAAGGAGTCATTTTACAAAGCTGTATCGATGAGAGTTCCCCTGTGGAGTGACACTAGACCAGACCGCAGTGGTGGCAGCTTTAAAATGTTTCCAAATCACATGATGTTTGGCCTTGATATGCTCACACAAACAACTTCTGCTTGCAGGAGAAGAATGTCGTAACGTGCTGTTTACTTTTCTGTGGTTTTAGTTCCTTAACATGAGAGCACCATTATTTTTATTTTGATGATTAGACAGAAATGGAATCAAGGTCAACGACTGATCTTCACTCTTGCCTGCTGTTCAGAGCCATGAAGTATTCAACCAATGACTCAGGGTCCAGAACAGTTTGTCAGTCCATCACAGCGCCACCTGTCGACACAAAATGCCAGACTTTGTACCTAGGCTCAGCTATGAGGGTCCTATTATTTCTAATCCTGTATAATTTTAACGAAGGGAGAAGTACCAAGATAAAATGTCTCCACTAATCTTTTAATGAAACCAAATTAATTCCTAGCCTTGTGGACATTCTGTGCTTTGCCCCTTACTTTTGAAAGCACTACTTCACTACAAAATGATCATTGGTTCAATCTCCTGTGAAAACTGATGCTCCAGTTTTCTCCCACTGCCCCAAAACATGCTGATCTGCTTTATTTTCCACCCTTAACTGATCATCGGTGTGAATGGTTGTTTATAAGGGAACTCCCAAGAGATTAACAAAGTTCTATCTATCTATCTGTGATGTTATGGCAAACTGTCAAATGTGTCATTGAATAGGGCATTCAAATTGCATGAGCAGCACCACCTGCAGGAAAGGTGAGAGAGCTTCATGCGGTGTACTTCTACTTCTCTTCCATCTTATTTTCCTTAGTAGGAGATCTAAGTCTTTCTTCACGATGAGGAGTGTAGCACGGGGTGATTTTAGAGCTGTGGTCCACACCTTCGTAGTGAACTGGTGAAAGTTTACTGGAGGGACATGTTTGAGAAAGTGCTGACCTGAGCCTGCTGAATGTTCAGTAGGACAGCACAAGACTTCCTCTTTGACTTTTGTGATGAGTAATTTGGATTCAGATAATTTATGAGCTAAAAAACACACCCAACACAACACCAAATCCTGCATTTAGACTGTAGGAGTATTATCAGAAGATTAAATAAAAAGAGGAAGTGTAAGAGAAACAAAGAGCACAGAGTTCATTGAAAAATATGTGAGAAATGAAAGACAGAAATGAAAATGACATTTTGAGATAATTCCCATGGAATTTTTATTTTTTTTTTTAAGTTCATTTTTAGCATGACCTTCTGTCTCATAAGAAACCCGTCTATGTACTTAACTGTAAAGTAATGTTTTCACCTTCTTTCAAGAAAGCTTTGAATGTAAGCTCAGACAGCTTCACATACTTTTGTTCTCCACCGAACTGCACACGAAGCAGCATCGTGCACCTATTTGAAGAAACCCCAGTCATTAATCGGTTCAACTTTTCTAAGAGGCATTTAGTATATGACAAACTCGAGGCATAAGGCTAGTGCATTACAGCTACTTAAAAAAAGGCAACAGAAGTGAGGCTCTGCTTTTTCCTGTTTCTGTCGACAGTTATTGAGGTTAACATGTTAAGACCTTCTGTCTCATAAGAAACCCGTCTATGTACTTAACTGTAATGTTTTCACCTTCTTCCAAGAAAGCTTTGAATGTAAGCTCAGACAGCTTCACATACTTTTGTTCTCCACCGAACTGCACACGAAGCAGCATCGTGCACCTATTTGAAGAAACCCCAGTCATTAATCGGTTCAACTTTTCTAAGAGGCATTTAGTATATGACAAACTCGAGGCATAAGGCTAGTGCATTACAGCTACTTAAAAAAAGGCAACAGAAGACAGGCTCTGCTTTTTCCTGTTTCTGTCGACAGTTATTGAGGTTAACATGTTAAACGAAGGTTTGCGCCACCGACAAAACTAGTTGCATGCTAATATTGTATCTTCCAACCAGATATAGGGGAAATTAGCTAAGTGTATCTTAAACGTTGAACACCAATTTGCGCATTTATTACACAATTTCGTTCTCAAAAATACTGCCCCATCCTCGACAAAAACTGTGACATCCCCAAGAAATAAAAATACTATAACTGCTAGCTAGAAAGCGTGCTAGCTTTCTAGTGGGCTAGAAATATGCGTTACCAAGCTCAATCACCTTACCATTACCGTGCTAATGTCCTTAAAACTAACGTGTTCGTGACCAAACTATCACACCATATTACTGGCATAATTTAACGCCAACCAGTTTTAACTTAGTTTAAACATATTTCATGTCAAACGTCGGCGCTAATTTAGGTGGTTTGTGAAGTTATCCTTTCTGTATTGCTTGACGCTACCTTCGTGAAGACAAACGACGACAGAGAAAATATTTTTGACGATATTAGCATCAAATACAAGCGTCAAAGCAGATATGACATTAGGTTAACATGAAAAATACCGTTTTGTTTGTTCATAACACATAATTATTGCATTACCTGTAAGCTGTTAGTGTCAGTTACTCCGAACTCTGGGCAATTCATGAGTTTACAAAAATCATCTCAGTGGCGGCAAAGTGGCGGGTATAATCATCTCACTGTATCGTTGAAAAAACTTCACTCACTTTTGACTCCACTGTTAGAGCAAATTGACTCTTCACAGTTTTGTAAATACTCTATCTGGGTTTATATACGTTTACTCTGAAATATTGACACCCTATTTTTTTATTGTGTGGAACTAGATGTCAGTCATGTTTCAATTATATAAGGTTTTCTTTATATACATAATTTATTTTCAATTGTTTCAATTTGTTTTTTGTAATTCAGTAACTGTATTGTAATTTACACTGATGCTGTATACAGTGTTTATAGACCTTAAACAAACGAACATATTTCATATATATAGATATTCAATATCGATAACTGATGTGGCCCCCTAGTGGACGGTAGTCGCCCTCAGCTCATTTGAGTTGAACAAACTTGACTTTTTTAAAGATTCTTTTTAATTAATTCCCGAGTGCAAGACATAGTGAGTGAAATAGACAGTGAAATAGTGAGGTTACAAGGAGCAGAGGTGGTGAAGGTACAGGAGTTTAAGTACAAGTAAGTTTAAGACAACACACACAGGAAGGTTTGGGGAAAAAGCTAGAGAAGCAAGATTGAGATGGTTTGGACATTGGTAGAAGAATGTTAGAGATGGAGCTACCAGGTAGGAGACAAAGAGGAGATTTATGGATGCAGTGAGGAAGGACATGCAGAAAGATGGAGTCAGAGTAGAAGATGCAGAGAACAGGGTGCAATGGAAAACGTTGATACACTGTGGCAACCCCTGAAAAAGGGACACGCCGAAAAGAAAATAAGTCGTGATTGTGATTAATCAAAATAAAGCAAAATTTCTAAAAAATGACACAAAGGGTTTTTTCCCCCTGCATATTAAAATATCAAAAAAGTAACTCATAATTTAGCTTCTTAGAGTGAGAGAATTTTTTAGATTTTGTAGAACGTTGCCTTTAAAATTTCTTTTGTCAGGGTACTAAAGTCCAAGTTACAGCCAAAAATAAGAAAGGAACTTGTTGTTGCTTATAATCTCCTCCATTCTCACCCTGATCACTCAGACTCAGGCTAAGGCACCACCCCTGGCTTCCCTCCTACTGTGATACCCGGTTATTGGGAAAGCCCCTCCTGTCTCCGAGCTCCCCAGTGGAACCTGATCAGATCCACTTCCTCATCTCAGTAATGAGGATAATTAAGAAGTTTACTGGACAGATGGAGTCGGTGTTTGCGATCAGGCGAGAGGAGTGGGACTTCTGAGAGCGCCACCTGCACTTACTAGAAAGACTCTGGCGCCCTCTATCGGTCGTAAGCAAACTGTTGCGTTACCAATTTGAGCCATGTTAAAAATAAAACATAAATCATAAACACTACAACTGCTTATAACTTTAACCAGTCTCTGATCAGAGGTATTTTAAAAAATGAAAACAATTATATATTTGTTTTTAGAATTTGATTGTCAAAAGTTAGACCCACGTATATTCTCAAACATGGGTCAAAATATTAAAAGGGATATCAATATCAAAATAGTACATTTATCGATGTAGTAGTATCAATACTACTCAACAGAACAAACCAACAAATTATTTTTAAAACATTAGTATATAAATGTATGTATGTAAATGTAGTCTTCTATTGATAATAATGTTCTCCTATTTCTTATAAAATTACTGAAAAATGTGTGCATTTTTGTATGTACACCAGGTGTATGTTTGTGAAGTGAGTGTTTAATGTATTGTGTTTAATTTATAATATTTAGCTACTGCACAGACACAAAACAAAAAAAGTACACTTTGATGACAAACTTTGACAATACATAAATAATTAACTGTTTACAGTAAATCATCTGCAAAAAGACTGATGTGATATAGACTTTATCAGTTACCAAAAGTGAGCTAATATTTTTTTCTGTCTTTTATTAACAAGCGTTTACGCAGCAGACTATAGGTTTAGCAAAATGTTGATCACCTTTCAAAACAAACCCCTGTTAAATATTTCACAGTGACTAATAGAAGTAAATATAGTTTTTTGAAATACAGACACAGATAATGTCCCTTGATTAAACTGACAAAAGTTGTTGTTCCAGGTCAAATCAGATTCAAAAACCAACACTGAAATATCCCAAATGTTTCAACAGACAAACCAAAATTCCAGAGTTTCAAAGTTCCCCTAGTGACTCAGAGATACTCAGTTGTGGAGCTCTGTGGGTCAACCACCTACAGGTGAGAAAAAGAAGATTCCTAGACAGTTCTTCTTAGAAATAAAGGAATGAAAATGTGCGGTTCACTTACAAGCTCAGTTGGTCTTGTTTGTATTTTACCCCTGGAAAAGGAAAGAATGGAGACCATGATGCGACAGTGTGTGTGATTGGGATGAGGGGGGTGTTTTCGATAAAAAATAGGAAATACTTGTTTTAGTCATACTCACGTCGACACTGCCATGTAATCACTGCAGCAACCACCAAAAGTACCAAAACCACAGGTATTACAGCAGCAAAGTGATGGCTCTCAGTGCCTTCAAGCACCACCTGGAGAGGAGTGTAAAACAAATTAAAATTATTTTTTATGTCATCACACACGCCCTCAACTCCAAAACAGTAGATTGCTTTCTGAGGGATAGTTTGTATCCCTTGACTTTAGATTGTAGATAAATAGATAGATAGATAGATAATATAATAATAGATAATATAATAGATACAACAATAAAAAATAAGCATTCAACCACTTATTGTTAAGAACTGAACAACATGGCAAACAATGGCACAATAATTACACAATCAAATCAGAATCATCCCAGAACACTGTGACAAAACAAATTCACAGATGTTTTCAACCTGAATTTAAACAGTCTTGCCACTAGAGAGAGACATAGGAGGAGTTGCACACAATACTAACAGCGGCACGAGTGTCACTTGTTCCGGTGGTGACAAGATCGTCCTTTTCATGACCTGTCAAAAGAAAAAGAAGGGGAAATAATTAGGAAATACAACTTTTTCTAATATATGTTTTGACATTAAAAAAGTAAATGTTGGACGTCGTTTTCTTCTCAACTCTTTTCTATTTCCCCCATAATTTCTATTTAACACAAGCCCTGAAATATCAGTCTTTAAAAAACAGTCAGCACTAAATTGCACTTAAAGAGTTATGACAAAGAAAAATTAAATAATGAAAAAATAAAAATAAAACAACACCTGTTTGTCCAGTGGTGACGGTGAGGATGTTGCTGGGTTTACTGACGCCGTGTCTGTTCTTGGCAAACACGCAGACGTGATACGTTGAAGGGTGCAATTCTACCATTGTGGCTTCTGTCTGGTTGGGACTAAATTCAATACTGTCAGTTGTAGAATCCCATGATGCTGTGGGATGGCAAGAAAATTGAAAACAGTTCTACTTACTTTTACAGTGTAAAAGGATTACAGGGTAAGGTACTGCTTTTATTCTTACCATTTTCTGTTTTATACTTCAAGTCGAAGCCTGTGATGGGACTGTCGCCTTCAAGGCTACTAATCCAAAAAAGGGAAAATGAATTGTATGTGACCTCCTTAAGCTGCAGTACTGGAGGATCAGGGGGCACTGGGTGAAAGAAACAGAAACATTTAACAAGACAGACATGTGTTGTTGTTTTTTTTTCTTTAACAGTTCCGCTATTTCCCTAGATATGAGCTTTGTCTCAAAGATAGAAGACTTCTTTTTGTTCAATTAAAACTCTCATGGAGCTCAATACACCATGTGGTGCAGTGTGGTGTGAATAATTATTCTATTCTATTCCATTCAAGGATGTCCGATATTATCGGCCTGATATTATAATTATGTAATATCTCTAAGAATCGTTATCAGTTTTCCTCCAATAATTAAAACCAAAAACGCAATGACTAGGTTTTGCAAAATGATGTGTTCCCTAAAAATGCTATTGGGAAAAAATGGCTGTATATTAAAGTGAAAGTCACTAGATATCAGCATTGCAGCTCATTTATCTTATGTAGAATTATTTAGGGTGAAAATAAACATCAGTACCTGCTACGACACTTGTACGTTTTTCTGACATTGTAGTAGAAGTAGAATCTGGCTCAGGTGCTGCAGTTGTGGAACCTTTTTGGAAAAAAATGTATTTGTGAATGAACTAATTGAGGAATATGAATTAATTCATAGGTTAAAAAAAAGAAGTTTATGTCTGAAACACCCCAGAAAAGAAAATTCACCTGGGATGGAACTTGTGGAGTGCTGTGTACCCTTGGTAGAAGAAGTAGAAGAAGAGCCGACAGTCTCTGCCTCTGTGGTTGTGAGAACTTAAAACAGAAATACAGAGTGACTTTGTTTTAGTATAGCTACAGTACCATGATTGACCCTATTGACCTTTTTCATCGTCTTACCCTCATCTGGAGTGGAGCAGAGAGCAACAGCGTGCGGTCCTCCTCCAGCAGTTGTTGCGGCCCGGATGAGGACAGAGTACTGGGTGGACGGCATCAGGTCGGTCAGGGTGAGGCTCTCCTCTTCCCGTGTGGCTGAAACA